CTTTTTCCCCCAAAATTGAGTTTCTCTGTGTGACAGTCCTGGCTGTCTGGGAACTCTCTTTGTAGACCAAGCTGACCTTGAACTCAGAGTTCTGCCTCCCAAGTGCTGGGATTAAAGATGTGTGTCACCACTGCCCAGTGATTTATTTCTTAGTCTAAGGTGCTCCCAGCCCTCCCATGTGGCTGCAAATGGCAGTTCCATTGTTTTGTAACTGAACAATACTGACCAGCCATACATCCCATCTTTTTTTCATTTGGTCACCCGTTGATTGATTCTCTATTACAAACAGCACCTCAGTAAATATGGGAGTACAGATGTCTCTTTGACATCTTTCATCTCTTTTGGATATGTGAGGTTATGATAGGGGGCTAGTGATATCCTGGATCATATGATAAATCATTTCATCTCTAGTCAGCCACTGAGTTTTGTATTTCTACTACCATGATTTTGTATTGCTAGAAGTTTTTTTTAAAGATGCATTTATTTTTTTTAGCAGTATGTATGTATGTGTGTCTATGTGTGTATGTATATACAAGGAAGCCAGAGGTGCCACATTCCCAGAAACTAGGGTTACAGGTGGTTGCAAGCCAGTGATGTGACTGCTGTATAGGTGGGGTTTTCTGTCCTGCCAGCCTGCTCACAAATAATCACACAGAGACTTATTATTAATTATAAATACTTTGCCGATAGCTTAGGCTTGTTACTAGCTAGCTCTTTCAACTTAAATTAACTGTATTTCTTATCTACGCTCTAACACATGAAAGTACAGCATGTTCATCTCCTGCTTCCTCTGCATCTGGCTGGCAACTCCACCCTTTTCCCAGCCTCTCTTTTCATCCGCAGGTCTTGCCTGACTTCTGCCTGTCTAGTTATTGGCCCTTTGGTCCTTTATTAAACCAAGAGAGCAACAGATAGTCACAATGTACGAAAGCTTGTTGTACGGAGTGCTGGGAGCTGAACCCTGTCCTCGTTAAGAGCAGTGGGCTCTCTTGAGCTGTGCATCTCTCCAGACCCTAGAAGTGCTTTCTGTTCTCTAACTTTTCTTTTTCAGTAGCATCACCTTTTTGTTTTGTGGCTACAGGACATCTTTTCTGTTTTGCCATGTTCATGTTGCCGACTTTGTGTTTTGTTCCACACGGTTTGATGTTCTTTATTCTGGTCCCTATCTTCCAAGTCAAACGCTTTCCTGACACATCTATTGGCCTTTGGTTGACCTTTCTAGATTAAGAGCAGGGGTTGCAGGAGGCAAAAGCAGGCAGAGCTCTGTGAGTTATAAGTTAGCCTCGTCTATACAGCCAGTTCCAATCCAGCCAGGGCTACACAGTGAGACCCTTTCTCTCAATAAACAAGTGATGAACAGGGGACTGGCCAGGTGTCACGGTTTATGCCTGAAATCACCACTCACATTGTAGAAGCAGAAAAATCTTTAGTCTGAGGATATCCTAGACTGCACAGAAAGGTCCAGGCCAGCTTGGGCACTATAATAAGATCCTGTCTCAAAAATAAAACAAACAAAAAAACTAAAATAGACAACCGCAACCAACTAACCTAGAGAAGTTGTTTGGAAGCTTGGCCTGAAGGCTTATCAGCTCTCAGATCCACACTGGTGGACACCCACTGTGGTGCTCACACTGGTGGACAGACAGACAGTCCTGGCCCCTTTGTGCTCACACTGGTGGACCAGACCGGCAGTCCCGGCCTCATTATGGTGCTGATGTAAGTGTTGCATCCTTAGGCCTTTGCTCTAGAGGAGATCTAGGCCTGGCTGCCACTGTTTTCCAGTCCAGTGGAGGATGAGCTTAAGAACTCTCATCAGCATTTCCCAGTCTTGAAATTTTGTTGGTAATGTCTTTTCTCCTGTTCGGACTGTTCTTGTCATTTCACATCTTCCTTTAAAAGAGAAGATCTGTCTGGAGGTTGAAGAAGGTGGTAAAATGTGGAGGCTAGTTGGAATTACAGCTCTCCCTAGGCATGGTGGCACACACCTGTAATCTCAGCGCCTGGTGGTGGAGGCAGGAGGATCAGAAGCTCAAGTTCTCAGCTGTGTAGAAAGCTTGTGGGCAGCCTGAGCTGCCAGAAAACAAAATGGCAACAACGAAAGCTTCTGTCAGGGCAGTTCAGTTAGTGGGGTCCTTGGCATGTACCACAGAGACCAGCCAGCCATGGTAGACAGACTGATAAATCCCAGCACATGGAAAGTGGAGGCAGGAGGATCAGGGGTTCAAGGATGAGCGTTTCCTTGCTAAAGACTGACTTATTTGTGTGTGCGCGTGTGTGCGCATTTATGCATGCATGTGTGCACACCAGTGCCTGTGGAGGCCAGAAGAGGATGTCAGATCTGAGAGTTACAGGCTGTTTTGAGGCACCTGGTATGGGTGCTGGGAACCAGGGTCCTCTGGAAGAGCAACAAGTACACTAACCACCGAGCAGTCTCCTCAGCCCTAAGGATGAACACTTTTATGGTGTTGTTACACACACATTCTTCAGGGTCTCTATGGACATGAAGAATTATTGAGGAGAAGAGAAAAGTTGCTGGTGGTGATGGCTGAGCTCATGGTGAGGATTCCTGTTGGGCAGCCTTGGCCTGAATGAGGAGGACGCCGTAGGTGCTGGGGGCTGCCAGAGACTGGGGGGAAGGCTTTGTGCCTGCTACTAGCTTGAGACAGTGGCCCAGGAGCTCACTGCCCCTGTAGCCAGGGTAACTTGAGAGAAGAATGTGGCTCTCCGGAGCAGGTGGGCAGTGCTGTGTGCAGGCTTGGGACCTCGACCACTAAGTGGGGCCTTGCCTGGTCCCATGCTGATGATTTCAGAAGTTCAAATAATGCTGAGGGATTTTGAGATCTCCAGAGAAACACGAAGGGACCCAGGATCACTGTTTTCTGTGATGACCTTTCTTGAAGCTCGCTTGTCAGGGATGTGGGTGGCCCGAGAGACATTTCCTTCCTTTCCCGTTCCTGCGTGACTGCCCTTGTGGTTGGTGCCCTCTGCTGTTCTGCTTTTCCTGCCCACTCCCTCCCTTCCCCCTCTGGGGTCAGGGACTCCTCTCCCAGAACCCTAGTTCAGGTTCTCCTGTGTCTCTCTGGACCATGGCTCAGACTAATTCCCATTGCTTGCTTTGTGCCTGGTCTGTGTCCTTTGTGGGGCACTTGAAGGTATCTCTCTAGTCTGCTGGCAGCTCTCCTCCTGTTGCCTGTGAGGCCCCAACAGCCGGGCAGGTGGGAGCCAGATGACATCCTGGGACTCAGCTAACCCAGTCAGGGCCTTATCTGCTGGCTCTGGGGCCAAGATTCTTTCCCACTGACCCCCTCGGTGCTATCAACCATTTTTCAAGGCTTTGATGTGTGTGAATGGAATGGACTATGATCACGAGGGGAAGCTGGGATTTGGGAGGACTCATTGACCAATGGCAGCAGGAAAATCTCTTGAAGTACAGGGTTGGATCTGTTTTCCTTTTATGCTGTGGAGAGCATTTTCTGTAGGCTTGGGGATAAGGGGGGCTTAGCTTCCAAGAGCACTCAGTCCCTCAGGGTTTGGTCATGAGATCTGGCTCGCACCTCAGACATAGCCCAACTGTTTGAGCCTTAGACTTAACAGTAAACTAAGAAAGTGTTTGGAGTTTTCCAAGTGAGGTATGGTGTCACGGTGTGGAGCCACTCTCTTCACTGCCAGCCACTCTCTCAGGTATTTGGGCAGCCAACCTTCACAGAACCCAGTACCTAGCCAAGCTTAGTGCTATATGGATAAGATGCCGCCTACCTGGAGCCTGCCTAGCTAGGGTGCTGTTGTTGGGCATAGCCTCTTCTTGGTTTTTAACCTCTGAGGCCTTTTCTCTTCTGGCTCTGAAATGGCCCCTTCCCACTCCAGCTTCCTCCCACCACTGCTAGTGCAGAGCCCAAACTGGGGCACCCACCTCCCAAGCGGTCACATCCATAGGGAGGAAACAAGTCCCCTGGGAAACCCAAGCCTGGGCAGTCTCCCGCTCCTGGTTTTCCAGGGAGCCCTAGCAGAGGGGGCTGGGAGGAAAGGCCCAACAGGGAGGGGAGCTGGGAAGCAGAACAGGGAACTGGAAGGGGAAGGGTGTGGGTGGGCTCCGATCCAGCCTACCTCCTACACTCCCACTGCTGCCAATCCCCTCCCGGGCAGGCACACACTCAAGGCAGGGGCTTGGCGCTGTCTCTTGGGTGGGGGGAGCAGGAACCGCTGTGTGTGTCTCAGAGTGAAGGGGGTTGATTTGTCGCAGTAACACAGCCACCCTGAGCTGTGGCCTGAGGCTCAGGCTTTGTTATTTCACTGGCTTGCGGCCCACACCTGGAGGAGGAAGAAAAGCCCCTAAAATACAGCTGAGTGTGTATTTGGAAGGGCTCGAGCCCACCAGTTCTGAGGCAAATGGGGCCAGAGAGGGCTTGCAGAGAGCGCTTGCATGTCTTTCAGTGAGGCTAGGGCCTTGTCCTCACCCCTCGCACCCAGAGTCCAGCAAACCTATATCCCAGCTCAGCCTGGGTTAGGCCCTCAGCTTTGTTAGTGGGGTGCTGGTCCTGGGCAGGCTGAGCAAAGTGACATTCATTTCACTACATCCTGTGGCTGTTGCTCACTTCCTCCTCCACTCGAGGAGCGGTGTGGGGGTGGGGGTGGGGGTCGGGTGAGGACAGATTAGAAGGAAAATGTAGCTGGGCTAGGGGCCTCTGGTGACTGGGGTTTCCCAGGGACTGGCTGGGGTAGGAGGGAGAGTTGTGGAAATGTTCAGAGGGAAGAAAAACAGAGAAGGGAGGAGCAGGAGGCTTCTGGAAGTCCCAAAAGTGGCACACACTACACGTTTGAGTTTCTGAAAGGGATTGTCATAGTCTCCAGGCCCTCAGAGGAGGTGGAGTCTGCCTCAGTTTCTCACGCTCTGACGTGCTGGCGAAACTGAGAGAAGAGAGGTCAGAGGCCCGGCTGGCCCTGGGCTGGAGTTCTGGGAGGGACCCGACTGTGCCCTGCTGATGAGCTTCTCTTCTCCACAGGCAGAGCCACCTGAAGGCCAGCACAGAGGCAGCAACTCTCCTGGGGACTTGACATCAGGATCTATGTTTAAGTTTTAGCTCTTGCTTACAAAGACCACAAAAACTCCATCTCTGAAGCCCAGCAGATCCACAGAACCCTCGAAGCCCCAGCCTGCCTCCTACTGCCCAGCTGCCAGCAATGCCCTCCAGCGGCCCCGGGGACACCAGCAGCTCCGCTCTGGAGCGGGAGGATGATAGAAAGGTGAGCAGCCCACTTGGCTCTTTAGGGGACCCTGTGGCTGGTGTCCAGGGAGGGAGAGGGACCTGTCCCCACACAACGAGAGGTTAAATTCTGAGGTGAGATGGGGCTCTGAACCCGGGTAGTCCTGGTTCTAGGACCACTATTACCACGGTGGTCTTTGAGCACAGACTCAAGCTCTTGGCGGTGTCTCATTGAGGGGTCATCCGTGTAGGGGAGTCGAATTCTTTTTGGATCTGCCCTGTACTGTATAATGTCAGATAAGCCATTGTACCTCTGTGTTGGATCTGCCTGTTTCCCCATTTTATTCAGTAGCTTTCTGAGGCACTGTCGACATGAGGTGATCAGCCCACACAGACATTCACGCACGTGGCTGTGTTCAGATGTTCAGGACCAAGTGACATCATCAACCTTTGGAGATAATGATGTCACCACCTACCCAGGTTCCAAAGCGAGTATCACTGGGTAGTCCTTGATGTGGCTCTAGGCCATCCAACCAATGACTTCTGTGCTTTCAGAGAGTCCCATGAGAGGTGACATTTTACTAAGCTCCAGGTCAGGTCAGATCAGTAAAGGGATTTCATCAAATGGGTGGGAACCCCCGAAGGGACCACAAAAGTTACCTCAGACCTGGGGCTGGAAGCTCCAACCCTGAAGTCTGTACCTCTTCGGTCAGTCTATGCACTTCACTGTCCTGCCATTCTGAGCCTCTGGGAGAGGTGTGAAATTTGTTCTGACAAGGGCTGGCCGCAGCTCAGGTGTAGGGCCCCAGAGCCTCCGAGCAAGGGCAGCAGCTGGGAGTCCTCCTCACCCGTACTTGGCTCCTTCCTGCTTCGTTCATCCTTAATGTGCATGTGTGTCTCTATGTTCTTGGTGTGTTCCATCACTGTTCTTTGTCCTGGTGACAACCCTTGAGGCGTGTGAGGTAAGGCAGGTGGCCCTGATTTACAGAAGGGGTTGCTGAGCTTCTGGTAAGCCCAAATGGGGGTCTGGTCTCTTCACTCCTGGATCTTACCTTACCATAGCCACCCATAGACTTGATGTACACAAGGGTCCCACCCCCAATATACACACATACAGATAGGGGTGCACACAAAAAGTCCAGGGCCCCAGCCTGCAACCCTGAACATTGCTCTGTGTGTGTGTGTGTGTGTGTGTGTGTGTGTGTGTGTGTGTGCGCGTCTGTGCGCGTGTACACGTGTGTGTAGACATATGTACTGACAAGGCAGGAATCATCTGTGCCTCTGAACTGGGTTCTTGGGAGCTCTCAGTTCACCCCCTCCCTCTTTTGTACATGGTCTCACACAGTTCAAGCTGGCATTAAATGCCCTATTGTAGCAAAGAATGGCCTTGAACTCTGGTCCTCTCATCTCTACCTCCTGAGTACTGCACTAGGCTTGTGCTACTTCAGCTGGTTTATACAGTGTTCAAACCCAGCCTAGTGTGTGCTTGGCAAATACTCTGCTCACTGGGCAACATCCCCAGCCCTCCAGCCTCTCCCTTCTGATTCCATGGGAAATGACTAGATAGTCTAAGTTCCCTGCAGGCTTCCTCAATTCCTCTTGCTCTGACCTCAAACAGTGCCCAGAATACAGTCTCCTGTATTCTGCAATGGCAGCCGTGCTATAGCTAATTCCCTTCTTTCCTTGGGCCTGGCTTTGTGTCTCTGCTAGACTGGGTGATGCTGAGCCTCCTCTGCCCTGGCTCCACACTCTGATGGATGCTGACACCCCTTCACATGCTCTTCACCCCCACAGATGGGGCAGACTCCTGTTGTTGGACTGTGCACCCCATCCTGCAAGGCTGATGGTCTCTGTATTGTGATAATTCTGTATGGAGCAGAGGAAGAACAGTAAAAGGAGTCAAAAGTCCCAGGCCCCAGCCCTGGGGATGCCACTTGTGGGGGATGTGACTTCAGGCTCTCTGGGCTTGTGTTTGTTCAGCTGGAAAATGGGAATAGTGACTCCAGCCTTGCCTGCCTTACAGGGTGCCTGTGGAAGTCAGATGAGGTCACAGGCAGGGAAATGCCCTGCAGACAGCAAAGTCTGGTCCAATTATGAGGGATTACGATTGCTATTATTATCTACCCATAGTAACTACTCTGGCTCAGGTGGCAGCAAGCACACACCCAGTCCTAGATCCCGGGACTGATAGAGAGAGCATGCTCACGTACTGGCAGGGGCCATTATACCAAAAGATGACAGCAGTCTGGATAGACAAAGGCTGGGGCCTGGCTGGGCCTCCTTTCTAACCACCTACACCCACAGCACATACGCTGGCTCACCTGGCACCCCTCCCTAGCACCTATGGACTGGCTCCAGCTGCAGCACACAGACACCTGGTAAAGGCAGGTACAGACACTGACAGTTGCCATAATGGTCCTTAAAAGCCAGCCTAGGGCAGGGACATTGTGTAGCTGCATATGGGGAACTTGGACTTTGCTCTATAGCCAAAGAACCTCCAGAGGTGCCGCAGACACCTGGCACAATGGAGCCATCTGCTGAGCCTGAGGGTAGCGGTGAGGCTCCTGCTGGCCCTTTCATTCACCAGCCCCACCTGCTTGTCTAGCCTTATCCTTGCTGCCTCCAGATACCATTTGTGCCCTTCCTGGGCCTTGCTTTTGCCTCCTCTCTCCTGCTGACTGCTTCCTCGATCACCCTCCTCTCCAGGAAAGCCCTGACTGTACTCTCATGGGTTACAGTTTGCAGGAGACCAGCGTGACTCAGATGTGACTCCCAAACCAACCACATCAGCGTCCCCTGCCAACATGTGGGAACTGCATGGTGCGAGCCCCGGCCTGACCTGCAGAGTTGAGAGCTCAGGAAAGGGACCCTAGGGGTCTGTCGCTTACAGCTCGGGAGGGTGGGGTCTACAGCTCCTCTCTTGCACATGATTGCCCAGGGTCTGCAGCGGCATGAAGTAGGAAGAATGCTGTGGATGGGAGCCAAGAGGCATCAGACTCCACCAGGGAGCCCAGGGCCAGACAGATGAGATGCAGTTGGGGTGAAAGACAAAAGGGGCCGTGCTCACCTCAGAGGACACAGAGGGGACTATAGAAGTGACCCCATTCTTGCATCCTGCCATCTGTGAGCTGGGCAGGGGTTGCTACTTGGGGAGACTGAAAGCAGAGGGGTTCATGGGGGGATTGGGAGCAGTGCCTTGGTAAATGAATCTATAGCACAGGGCTGGGGCTCTAAGAGGCAAGTAAGGAGTCAAGGAACTTAGGGGAAATGGAAGTACATGTCATCCCTATGGAGGGGAAGAAACAAGAACATTCAGGGGGCTTCCTCAGCCCCCACATATGAACTGGAGCAGGCAAGGTCTAGGCTCTAGGCTCTTTCCATTACCTGACTGCTTCCTTTGCTCTGGCTTCAGATACTTTGTGGCCAAGATGCATTGAGCATTGATTGTTTGCTAGACACGCCACTTGCATTATTTTATTTTTTATACTTACCCCAAAGGCATGGATATTCTTATGATAGTCTCTTATTAAGGACTAAATTGAAGCTTGGAAATGCTAAGTCACTGGTCTGAAGTCTCCCAGAGTGTTCTTCAGGGGGTGGAGTGAGCAGCGGCTTCCAGCTGTGCTTCCCAGAAGTGTTGCCTGGGTTTCTCCTGCTGCAGGTTTAAGGGTGTTCATTTACAATGAAAGTTGAGGGTTTGTGTAGCTCTTCCCTTGTGGATGTCAAAGGCACTTCTGTTCCAGTAGGATTGTGGACACATACACACGCACACAATCTTCCTCATTGCAGACACTACTATGGGCATCTCACTTCTCTACATCCCTTACTCTTTGGATGTATTGTTCTTTTTCTTCCTCCCTCCAACCCTGTCTTCAGACTTCCTTACCTTTCCAGTAGCTTCTAACTCAGCTCAGTTCCACAAGTCTGGAGGACTAGTGAAGGACAGGGATAGGAGGGAACAAAGATGGTAAGTTCCATGCCATGGCAGTCGGGCCAGTCCTCGGGCAGCTTACCCCTCCTGCCCTTCCTGTTGTTGGGTGGAGGAGACAGCAATAGTGCAGATTTGTGCTGGAGAGTTCAAACTGTGTGTGTGTGTGTGTGTGTGTGTGTGTGTGTAGGTGTGTGTGTGTGTAGGTGTGCATGGGGCTAAGACTAGGGCTCTTTTCTTACCTCCCTCCTCCAGCCCAGAGGCCTGGCAAGTACAGGGTTCCCTTGGCACTGAGCTCTTCCTCAGTGTGGCACAGAGCTCAAGGGCATCCTTGGGTGAGGTCCTTGCCAGCCTCAAATCCTGGCTTTGTTTGTCGGTCCACAGTCTGCAGGAACGTGGAGCGTTCTGGGGGCTCCTCTGCCTGTGTGTGCTTAGATTTCCCTCCATGCTCACTCGGGGCTGGCAGCTCCTTAGAGGCTCCTCTGAAGAGCATCTCCAGAGGACTTTTATATTTTTATTTAAAAAAAAATTTTTCTTTTGGTGTTTTGCTTGCTTGTATGTCTCTGTGAGAGTGTCAGATCCCCTACAACTGGAGTTACAGACAGTTGTGAGCTGCCATGTGGGTGCTGGGAATTAAACCTGGGTTCTCTTGACGAGCAGCCAGTGCTCTTAACCACTAAGCCATCTCTCCTGCCCCCTTTATTTAATTTTTTTCAAAATCATTTATTTTACCGGGCAGTGATGGCACATGACTTTAATCCCAGCACTTGGGAGGCAGAGGCAAATGGATTACTGTGAGTTTGAGGCCAGCCTGGTCTACAAAGAGAGTACCAGGACAGGCTCCAAAGCTTCACAGAGAAATCCTATCTCAAGAAACAAAAACAAAAACAAAAACAAAATCATTTATTTTAAATCATGTGTGTGCACATATAATGTATGTGTGTACATGCCATGTGTGTGCGCATATGCCATGTGTGTGTACGCGTGTCACGTATGTGCGCGTGTCACATATGAGTAGAAGTCTGGCGGCTAGAGGTGCCACATCCTCGGTGCTGGAATCACAGCTGGCTGTGAGTTGCCTAATGTGAGTGTTAGGAGTAGAACTCGGGTCC